CGGATTTCGATCGCGGAACTCAAAAGGAACCATGTGCGTCATATCCTAACCATATGACAGAATCTGACATGGAACTTTACTTAGCCTTATTTAGATATGTAATTAGAACTATACGTGATGACTACAGCACTCAGTTTTATATTTTTAAGCTTGTAAAGAGGTGTGGTAAATACAATATAATGCCTTCATCTAAAATTATGTAATAATGCGAATAAATCCTTTATTTGTTAAGCTGTGCTTTAGCAATCAATGCAAAAAGCAATTTTTATTTGCTACGCAAGGCTGCAAAGTTGTTGTTTGACACGAGTGCTTGTACTGAAACCGCGAAGCATTCTGAGGGTCGTATTCTAGAACTCTACTCAATGCTCAAGTCAGGATCTGACTATGATTTCGAACACTGGAAATACGACCCTAATGACTTGAGTATGATTTCGAGTGCTTTAAACCATACTCAAATCCTGACTTGAGCATTGAGTAGAGTTCTAGAATACGACCCTACATAAGATTCAAATATAGGATCCTGAGTGTAGCGAGGGCTTCAAGCCACGAGATGCAACACTACTTTTCACCTCACTATAGCAAGGAAATGGTAAATGGAAGAAAAAGTGTTGAACTATAACAAACCAGTTTTAATAAATAAAATTCGTTGTCGTTGTAAATTTAATGTCAACAATAATAATAAATAAAATATACCAATGGATGTACATTACATAAAATAATGTACGACAAATGGCGTAGTTGAACCTGCCATTATGTTTTCTTTTTCATAGAGAGAAAAAGTTACGTGCTCCACAGTCCATCGTCAAGTTCCAAATTCAAAAACCTTTTCCACGCTAGCTACATTTCTAATGAGAAAGAAAGCCTTTCCTAGCTAGTTAGGCGAAAATTCATTGGTTATTAAGCGGCGTGTACGTGTCAAATACATAATGATTATTACAAAGATCAAACACAAAGAAGAAATCCTTCGATTTGACAGAACTCGAACTGGCGTCTGTAGGCGATAAGAGAAGAAAAACCAAATACAAAAGATCCGTAACAGACACAGAGAAATTCGTAAGGTCTACTGTCAAGATCTGTATAGCTCAGATGGTAGAGCTGTGGCCCTAGCTTGGTATACAGATTCCAGTTTAGTCAGATCGAAAGAATTCTTCTTTGTGTTTGATCTTTGTGTTAATAATTACAACAAACTAGCGAGGAAAATATTATAAAATTAATAGAATCAATATTAAATAAATGCTTACAATATTGCTTGCTAAATGATGGGTTTTTTCCGCTCCAGTTTAGTTGGTAATGGGCCTTATGGCTGTACTTCGTCGTCCCAAGTCTCCAGGGATCTAATCGTGGGTCAAAGTTACTTAAAAGAGTAGTAATTGGAATCTTTGTAATATGAATTTAAAGAACATGATTTCATACGAATTCCTTGACTGTTTTTCATTTACTAATATTAGCTTTATTGATTTTGTAAACAAACGTAATTTTTTGGCATTAATCTTGTGTTTTCATACTTCGGATGAATCATAACGATTGCTCATTTTCTCTACGATCATTGAAGGTTTAGAATTGCACGTGTATGATGTATACTATTTAATTATAGAACATGAAAAAAATTATGTTTTTGTCATTTAGCACCTCATTATACCTGGCCTCAAACAAGGTCCTGTCCCATGATTACTAGAGCAATGTAATTCACTTCAAGACATTACTCACAACACCCAAAACCGGTTTCGAAAAGTTTATTTCTCAGACTGATTCTTCGGGGAATCGAACCCAGGACCTTGTCATTCAGTGAGATTCAATAAGTGTCTTTCACAATACCAATGACTTTCATGATATAGCCGTATAATGAACCAGATATTTATAAATACATATATATCGAGTTCTAAGGTTTCATATATGTACATATGTGAGAGTAAGCCGTGTGTGTGTGTGAGACAGAGAGAGAGTTTCTCTCTTCCTATTTCTTCCGATCGCCATTCTTGTTAACTAGAAATATATTTTCAATAAAACGTATTTCGTATATAACACTAGGCAGAGTAATGGCGTCCCGGACATCCGTTTTGCACATAACTTAGCCAACAAATTTAATATGGTATTTCAAGATATTTATTGTAAATCTGAAAACATGTTTAATAGGTACATTATCATATATTAATCGATGTATCTGTACTTATATGTAAAAAATAATAAATATAATTTATGTGTGAAATGCTTCTACGATATTTAAAGCATGCGCCAAACCAGGCGAATGCAAATTCGATAAATGCTGCATTAAAATCGATATCCAGATATGTAATATGAATGTTACCATATTTGTATCATTTTCGATCATGTGATCACTTAATATCAAAAGAAAAACATTCCTGTAAACCAGTGACACATTATTGTCAAGCGAGAATTGCGCCAGTTCATTGCTCTATCGATATCAACTTATTGGATAAACAACCCAACTCAAGGTCTACACTGTTCATTGAGACAAAGTCAACTCATTGATAGTTTTTCTATGTAGTGGTTTATCCACCTTCAAATACTCTATTAACACTACAAAGCGTAATTGACTCAGATGCAAGAATGATAGAGCTCAAATCTATTTGCTATTGATAGTTTGTTTGCTACACCTGTGTGATATATCGATACACTTATATCCAATATAGTATTTGTCTGTGGGTGTGAGCGTCATAGTATAAAGCTTTGTTTACATTATGAACGAAATAATATAGTTCATACTAACAGGAACTGTAATGAGAATTGATCACTGGGAAGTTTAGTGTGAATCATTTAGCCATTTATTTTTGTAACTGCGTGAGAAAATGTTTCTAGTTGTCTAGGTTAGTCATTTATCAACTTTAGAACTATATGACTCTGAAAGACCTTACTTACCGTAAATGAGGCCTTACCATTGAATGAGGATATCATGCAACCAGCTGTATGCCTGTATAGGTTGGCGATCATAAATAAAGCTCCAGTCTGACACACAGGAAGACAATTACAATTTCCTGGTTTATTCCTCTTATCCCTTTTACTTTACTCACGTACTCAACTCTCAAATCCAATAAGTTCTAGTTTATTTATTACTGCGCACATGTACAATTTGAGCTAAGTAGATGCCATAAGTATCACAGTGTTAGTACATGAATCCTGTTAGAGCATTTCATTTACGACAGTTGAGAGGGGGTTGCATGGAAATGAATCGTAGTATCGAATAAACGAATTATATTTAATGATTAAAAAAATAAAATAATAGCTATACTAGTCACACTATTGATCGTGAAACTTTTTATAAGATTATTATATAACTTCCTGACCTGGTAAGGGCGGCGGGTAACCGATGCATGCACGTCGCGTCCGATCGGCTGGTCTTGAAATCTTTGGGGGAGACCTATGTGCAGCAGTGGACGTCTTCCGGCTGACATGATGATAATGATATAACGTCTGCTTACTTTGGTGACCAAAACGTCTGCAAGTGACAGGTTATTTCTAGCTATCATATTTCAAATAGTTGTCATATTATATAAGCAAATATGTATTAAGAATAAGTAAACCCCAGAACTTCATATACATTTCTCTCAGGGGAATTTCTGTTACAAATGACTATTACTTAACAAGTGTCTACTTGAAGTTTACAATATATTTAAATTTGAAAAATGTTTTAAACTGTTATACCAGGTTTAATGGTAGAACGGGACAGAAAAAAAACTTCCAAGCTGCTCTACTAAGTGGAGTGATTTATTGAAGAATATAAATACATAATTTATATAAAGACATAATAATAACGCACATACTCAACATAGCACCGCCCTGAGGAAACCCAGTGTCGCGTGTGCCATGGACACACATATAAACAACCACAAATTACGCCCAAACTCCCGAGATACATAAATGTAGGCCATACGAATATTTAAGGCCATATAATATGATGTACATATATATTTTTATTATTCCTTATTATGTAGTGTACTTATGATTATATTCTGTTGTTGCACCTCTTTGCATATCTAAAATGTCTATCCTAAGGTTACTTGGAAGAAATCGCTACATAGCAATTGTTTATTCAGTACTTTTTGTTTATTCAGTAACATAATCAGTAACATAATGTACAGAGAAAACTAAAGACTACTTATGTGATTTAATGTAAAAATAACACGTACCTGAACTAGGAAATTCCTGTATTTCAGGTAAAAAGTACTACTAATTATAAATGTGGATACTATTAATATTATAACGAGGGGTGAAAGGCTATTTGGTTTAAGCGACATCTTGGGCGATATTGAGTTATATACATATTCGGAATCAGCGATTTTTTCTCCGTCGAATGATGCCGGATTCATTGAAATCAGAGCACTTTTTTGTCGTTTGAATCAATCCTATTTTTAGGTTGATTCCAAAGTGACAGTGTATTATCCGACGTCAATTTTGCATTTTTTTTTCAGTAATGTACTTGAACTATACAATGATTTACAGAACCGAGACATAAACCAGTTAGCTTTACTCATATAAATGATTCAATATCGGTTAAAGCATTTTTCCGGTTTCTAATTTTTATTAATATGAACCTTAAATCATTTTGATTTCCACTATTTACACGCTGTGATGTCACTTAAATCATTTGTCCGTCAACAAAATATGACATGGAGTGTCGCTTAAGCTCTTTCAGCTGCATCTATTTTCTGCCTAGGGTGCTTCTTAAACCAAATAGACGTTTTGTTTCAGAAATTTTGCATGTTCGTTAAAACATTTTGGCCCTATTATTTTTTCAACGAATGTCGCTTAAAATATACGGTAAAATGGAGTGATGAAACTTAGATCATTTTTTCAGTTTTAATAAAAATAAAACTCGACCTTTAAATCATCCAATTCTATTATGATACATTTCGTTCATGTCATATGATACCATATTTATTCTATCTCCCGGGAGTTAAAACTCGTGATCATTTAACCAGACCGCAGCGCTCAGTCGGTTCAGTCGAAATCCAGAGTGTATCAAGGAATGACGTGACTCGAAGTTGCCGCCAGTATTTAATGAAAAACGGTCTTCTAAATTGTAAGTGCTATAAATTTCATTATTTATGTAATATTTCAAATTGAATTGTAATACGTTAACTTAATAGATGATTTTGATGTTATTATTTACTAGTTCTATTAATGTTACTTGTTCTGGTTAATTCATTATTTTAAGAGATTGATCTTATGCTAACCGCGTTGGTACATATTCATGGTAGTAAAAGGTTCATTTTATGTATTTCCCTTTTTATTACTACTATTTCAGATAAATATGGAGACAGAAAGACGGAAATTCTACAAACACAAAATCAAACGAATCTGTGTTTCGAACGAGGATGATACGTCTTCCGTAATTGATAAAAGCGACACGACCAAATCTACAGTAACAATATTAGGAAGTGCCACTTATCATGAACAAGTTAACGATTTAAGTATTTTTAATTCGAACAGCATAGATCAGCAACCGGAATCCTTGGTTAATGACCCAATTGATTTAAATTATGAATCGAACTTTTATGCCAACACTATGGATATACAAGTAGGTATATTATTTATATTTGTAATGCTTCTAATAGTAGCCATATTTTATGTAGTATCACGTTAAATTTTACTTATTTCAGCCAACAATTACACATAAATATATTCCTGGTGATTTGAAAGATGGGGATGTAATTATTAACGAAGTTACGATTGAAGTGGAAAGAGAGGTGATTTTTTTTTATTTACTCACTAGTTTTTAACGTAATAAAAAAGTAGCCAAAGTTTTATTTTGTATATTATAAACTACATTACTGTTAAGTTTTATCAAAATCTATTTCAATTAATAGTTTCAACATAAATGAACAACAAACATCGTTTTATTCATCTACCCTCATAAACTTTCGCGTTTACAGTAGAACCTAGTACGATGTAACATTTGATGCTTAATAACATTTAAATTGTCTTTTAGAATCAAGAAGAAAAGGACAAACCTGAAGTAAAAGAAATAGAAAGAACAATTAGTAACGACAGTCTGCAACCAACTATTACTGAAATTATACCTGAAACCGACATGGATATATTACGGAAATCTTTAGAAGAAAATAATACTGATGACAATGTTGAGATACAAACAGAGGTTGATCATCCAATAAGGAAGAAAAACAAACGAGTTCTAAAAAAAAGCTATGTTGATTTTTTAAGTGAAGATGAAGATTTTGCTTGGGACTCAACGTCGTGGAAAGAAACAGATGAGTCTTCAAGTGATCAAGATGATCAAACACTAACGAAGAAAAATAAAAAAAGCATGAAAGATGTAAAAGTAGGAGATGCAGGATTAAAAAAGAAAAGAACAAACAAGAAAAAGGTACGAAAGGAATCTAGATTACCAAAGCCAAATACATGGACCTAAAGAAACTATGCGACACTGGGGTTATACCCAAGATATTTCATAAAGAATACTTAAATCTGCAACATTGCAATTCCAAAGACGTTCTACTCGATACTGATGTAGAGGATACAGTTGAAGAAACTGATAATTAAATACTTTCTCATTTTTTCTTATCACATTTTGATTATTACCAAGCATTGACTATGCTTTATAATTAATAGGCGTTTTGTTGTTTGTACAAGAATTAGTTTATAGTTGATTTTCCTACATTGAAACTGATTTTACAATCATGATTATTATACTAAATGTTAAGGTATGTGATGTGTAATCTTATTCATTAAATCATTTAAAATTTTCTACAGCTATATTCTGCTTAGTCACTTTCTCACTAACAGTTCCTGCCAAATGTGTGAAAGTGACTAAGCAGAATACAGATAGAAAATGCTTTAAATATGAATAAGCGGGTAATACTTATATTCATTGATGCTGTTGCTGATTAAGGCTGACAAGTGAATTAATACAAATATTGATGTTCCTACATTGAGACTGATTTTACATGATTATTATTCTAAACATTATTACTATTATAAATACACACTACATACTCTAAGGTAAGTAGTGTGTAATATATTATTCATAAAAATATTATATAAAATTTGCTACAGTTATTTTCTGTTTTATCACTTTCACACTGACAGTTCCTGCCAAATATGTGAAAGTGACTAAGCAGAATAACGCTAGAAAATGTAATTTAAATATTTTTAAATTATATAAGCGGATAATACCTACTTAATATTATAGTTGATTTACCGAAAAATATTGTTTCCACATTGAGATAATTCTATTTTATTGTTTTTCTAAATAAATACTTGAACTGATTTTATGTTGGTTGTTTTTCTTTATTTATTCAATATAAATACCTGAGATTTTGAGTGATGGTGATATATTCAGGTTGTTTCAACAGCCATTGATAACATTATACGTAAAAAAATGTTACATCAAACGTTACATTTTCAATACTATTATGTCACATATGTCCATTAGCCTGCCATTCAATTTGATATCAATTGGCAGTTGAGATAAATAGCTTGCTACTATTTATTTCAGGCTGCGTCACTTCATGCTGTTTGGCTTATTCTGAAAATATACCGCAGAGTCACTTAAATCTTTTTTCCTTTCTCTAAAAAATAGTGGCTTAAGGCAATTTGTATTAAGCGACATTTATCTTTGTAATTAAAGGTCCGTTTTATTTGGTATAAGCATCAATAAATCAACGTTTTCAAATGAATTTGAATTTAGTTTACCCCATTCAAATAGCTGAAGAAGTTTTTTTGTTATGATTTTTTTTCGATTTTTTAAAACTTTAAATGGCTCTCCTGTAAAGTTGCAAAAATGTCGCTTAAACCAAATAGCCTTTCACCCCTCGATAAATACTTTTTAGGAGAATCTTATGAAATAAAATTAAACAATTAAATAATAAATTGCCAATAAAAAAATAAAAAAATGTACACTTAAACAAGACAACATTTAATTTACGATAATAAATAAATTCTCTGTATCCTCATAGGACATATTTTGAAGAGCTTCTTGGAGAATTTTCTTTACCTTAAAGCAACAGAAATTATAAATGGAATATTTGGCGTTTAATTTATTGTACAAAAATGGTCCAAGAAACACAAAAAATCTTGAAATAAAAGTATGTTTTGATGACATAATTTTGGGGCAGACAATATCTTTTCGTCTTTTATTAGTGTTTTCAGTAATATATGGGAGCAATACGTGCTGTTTGAGGACTGTGGACTTAATGAATAATTGCCTTACAGTTAATACTTTACATGACTTATACAGAAGGTCAGTGGGGTAACGGAAAGGGCGGTAGGTAGAAACAATAACTAAGCAATAACTTACTACTGCTACTATTATACTTAAGCAATTATATTGTATTTTAACTGTAATTAATTATGTGCAGTAAAGAATATTTCATGAATATTATAGTAGTCATAACATCATTATATTTCATTTTATATTTAATGAAAATAAATATTGCAGTTAAATAAAGTAAGTTAGAGAATTATGCCAGGATCCTTAGCTTGTGGATGTTGTAATCTACTCACCTCAGGGCGACGCGACACAAGCGTAACAATGTCATGTATGTATTTTAATAATTATTATTCTGTGCACAAAGCCTTATTTTTCAATTTTTAATACAAACACAGTGTGCGTGAGTGCGTGAGACAGGACGCACAACAATAGCCGGAATAGGAAGCGCCAACGGCAAAATGGACTCTTGTGCAGACTCGGTGACTCCCGGACAAGTTCCGTAACAAGGTCCTTGCCTTGAATAGGGTTTCTAAATATCTGAATCGATTACAAAGAGGTAAATAAATGCTGACACCCATCGTCGGACTTTGAGATATATACAGATTAGATCAGTTAGTAGGTTTTTGCCTCGACCAGGATTTTCGGTATTCATTGCAGTCTGATTTGATCGATTTTTAATACTTATAATTTGGAAACCCGGGTGTATTATTTAAGCTAATATTTTTACGCACAATTGTAAATCCGCAAAACAAATTTCTATTTCGGCACCATTATCTTCTATGGTGATGACTGTACCCTCTTATATTATTTATGGATTTTCACATCTATTATTTCCTAAATAAATCAAGAACAACTCTATCAAGTTGATCAATTAAATGTACCGATTTTTTTACAGGCATTATCATCCTTTACTTTAGTGTTTTTTAATCTAATTGAACACAATAGCCGAGAACGGCGTCACGCGTAAATTCTGCTCTAATTGTTTTAAGCCAGAGGAAATCCTGGTTCATTGCTGATTATAGATTCGTTGACGTTTTAGGATGCTCGGATGCCTCTCTAACTGTATAGGCTTTGTAATCTATTTGTTTTTAGGCCTGAACAAAACATATTTCCATTGAATTTCTATTAAAAACAGTTTCGGAGAAAATCACCTAAAACAGACAAGCGGACTACAAAATGATTCCATTGTTTCATTTTAGCTATTTCCGTTCCAAGGGGAATATGAGCTCAATTCTTAGACTTTTAATACACTTTGTTGATTGACCGCAAAATAGAAATACTTGCTTATAGTTAGGGTGACAATGTAAAATAAATTTATTGTTTTTTTAATACACATGTTATTAAATCAAGCCTTTTAAAATAAGATATCGATTTTCATGGCAGTCAAACTTAGGTTTTTGTGTTCATGGTAACAATTATTGTTATGACCTTCTCTTGATCCTCATGATCGTGTCTGAGATATGACAGGTTGTAATTTCGTTAACACATGACCAGTTTCTTTGTACCTCTAAACCAAGTTTATGAATCTGAACTTAATTGTGTTGAATGAAAGTACAGATTACCGTCGCGCTTATTTGAACAGTGAAATTTCCAAGGGTCGAAGTATTTTGGTTAAGTGTACAAACAGATCTAGGTCACGAAAACCATTGCTTTTCAGCCTCCGGCCGAACCATCGAACCAAAATACTAAATTATCAAACTCAGACTAATCATCGGTTACGGTCCAAAAAACATCTTTTAAAAATAATATTAAATTGACTGCATTTTAATGCAGACTGTAGTCTTACATTTTTATAGTTTAAAAATATTTTTTTGAGTACAATAAATTCCATTTATTTTTTATTGTTGCAGATTTGCCCGGCTTTGTCTACTCGAGTGATTCAAAGGTAAGTTTGATTACTGCATAAGCAGCTATTGTTTTAAAACAAGACCAATTGTAGAAGGATCCTGATTTGTATTATTAGTCTTATACTACAGGTTCCTTCCATAATTTGCTGTTTGATATTTTATTTAGACTTCAAGAAGGAATCTATCAACCGTTGCTCACCACTGTCACTGACCTACCTTCACAATTCACATGAATGTGACATGTGTTTGTTTAATAACTTACAATGACATTGTGCTTAGGAATCTGTATCAAATTAAGCTATAGTTATACGCACTTTCGAGGTATTTATTCAAGTTGAGGCACATCTGATTCCAATACATAGATAGAACATAGAATGGATCTTTAATCGCTTGAAAATATAAAACTGAAAATAACCACGGGAATTTATAATTAGATTTTGTTCTTCGACGCTTAATACGCGTCCCTTTGGAGCACTAGGAGTACAAACTTTTTTCAAGTTTTGTGTACATTGATTTGTTTTTTAACTTCTGATTGACGATGTCAACCATCTAGAGAGTCTATGGAAATGTCATATCGACAGTTCACGCTGACTTTGTGTCTTCACATCTCTTTATGTAAATGTGAAAATTTCGAATTCATTTTTTAATATTTTTCGTGAATCTATTTTTGAAGAAATTGTTTATTTTCGTGAAGTCATGGTAAAATATCATGTGTTATAAATTGTTATCGACAAAAGCGGTAGGATCTTTGGTTAGGAGCGCGAAGGAAGAAATCCTAGTGCGGTCATCATGTTGAACGAATGGTTGCATCGAAGAGAAGAAGAAGTTCATACAGAAGGTCTTCAGGTACAAATTGTTAATACTTGTTATGTAGAAAATGGCCATACAACGCGTCGTCATAAAAATGTTTATACTTACTACAAACATTGGTATTGCTTAGAGTCCATAACATTTCGTACTATTCCATCGTGATCTCACGATATCCACTGAAAGTATTTTTACTAGTAATAGCGACTTAAATTTGGAAATCTGAAAGACTTTTCGTACTACTATACTTCTGCTACTACTATTCCTTATTATAACTAACGTAATCGACATTTTCAGTGATATTGAGTTGATAATGTATCTGGTCGATTGCTGATGCAAAACGATGTCTACAACCTCCTCTGATCGTTTTTTTATATCTTAGTTATTTCAGTTTTACGAAATTCAGTTACGAAAGAGACATGGTACATGGTCTTTTCTTATGGGAGTGAGCGATTCGGCCAATATAATTGTAAGGACGCATGTCCTTACAATTATTTTTTTTTTTTTTATTTTATATTTTATTATATTGGCCGATTATAGTAACATTACTTTGTAAGCGAACACTCCTTTTTTAAAATATAAATAAATTAATTATACTTATACTGTTATCTGTAATCTAAATTAAATTTAATGTAATTCTTAATTATCACTTCTTTGATAATAATAATGTTCGGTTAATAATATTCAATTTAATTGTTATGTGATGTAATAAGTAATGTTAAATTTATTAATAGGTGTATACTTACCTAAATAAAGAAACATTTTATTTTATTTATTTATTTATCAGCAAAAATTTTTATTACCAAAAATAAACTTTAGGTTCAAGGTGTAACTTGAAAGTTACCGAAATGCAAATGCGTTAGTTGTGATAAGGAGGACAGATTAAGTGTCAATAAACATTGAATAAAAGAAATAATAGAGGCTACAATTACTTACATGTTTCTTAAGCTTAAGCTTTATGCTTACATTATTTATCAAAAACTAAATCAAGATTACCTTCTAAGACATGCAATACAATAAAAAATAAAATATACTAATAAAACATACGACTCAGCTACCAAAGGCTATGAAGTCATATACTAAAAATCATTAAAAAACATTAATTCGTATTCAGAAATGTTCACGTACACTTAGGGAAAGATTGTAAGAAACCTGCATATATTGCTTTCCTAGTAACCATTGTGAGCCTTTTTGTATATATGTGTTATTTGTTTACTTAACAACTCAATAAAAAATCTGTTTTAAAAACAAATACTTACACTGGTTACATTTCTTCATCCGTCACAAAAATCGAGCAACAATTATTATTCTTTGTACTTTTGTATAATTATAAATATAGCATAGTTTGCAAATATTGCAAAAAAAATTGTAATAGAAATGGAAGTAAATTAATTTCCTAGTCTGCGAACGTACGTAATTTTTACGCCCTGTTTGACCTATATATGTACATATGTATACACTGTTACATGTCTTACAGGTGAGCTTGTAAACTCCCGACTTCTTTCCGACTTTCCCTCTCTCCTTGCTATTTGGGTTCGCGCAGTAGCAAATTAATTTAATTCCATTTTTATTACAATGTATTTAAGTAACGCCTGAATCTATTAATTACAAAGTCCAAAATTAAAATTAAACTTTTTTTTGTAACAAGCTGGACTTACGTTCCACTTGCAAGGATCTTCTCTTCTCTAGCATTTTCGCGGTTCTCCAGATACAGTTTTATCCTTTAATTACTATCATTACTCATTATTTTCTTGGCATTGCCCTCAACACATACTATGCGTACACTCAAGAATTTTCGCGGACCATCAGATACATCTAAGCTTTAAGTTTTAAGGTTGACTTTCTTGTATTTCTTCGTCATTGCTGCTGTACGAGTATAAGTATATCGTCTTTCTGTAGCACCGTTAAAGTAATTGCTCTTCGCGACGAGTCGATGAGTATTTTCACACAGCCCTTTTCCTTACTCCATAGATTGTACTAAATTTTAGAGGGTTACAATTTTTATTTACCAAAATTACTTTCAAATCTTTTTACTGTTTTTTATCGGTTTATTTTGACATGATAATTGAAACACTTGATTGCGATATTATTATTAAGTATATATAAACAAGTAAGCATTTATTTAACTAATTTAATTTATATTGTTATACGAGTTATTATTCTATCATCCCACAACTCAGAAAGTCTGTTTAAATAATGCAAGATATTTATTTGTTTAAAAAGTGAAGTTAGGTACAATGAAGGTATAACATATTATGTTATTAATGTACCCTATATTTCACCAGAACTTAGTTCTAGTCAAAATTCTAGTCCTTCAATGAAACCTCTTTCAGATCAGAAATGTTCGTAAATATAGAAAACAGACTTTCATGTTACATTTTTAAAACATGTTCGCATCGCAGTATAAACACCTGTATTTTATTTTCTTAATTTCTATGTTTTTGTTTAGTCTATGGTTGCTGTAAAAAGAAGATCAGTGCTCAAGATCCCATTCAAGTTTTTACCTCTATAATGATCTTCGATTTTAATCACCATACTAATTACGACATAATTTGTCGTCGACACAGTAATGTTTTAATTGTACACCCTTCTCTTTTCTTTTTTACTAATAAGGATCCTCTGATGTAATTAAACATAAGTCATCTGTTAAATATAACATCTGTTTCAATTTGATTCTAGAATGCAGATTAGTTTAACAAGTTGCGTGTTTTCCTCATGATGGCTCTAGTGTCCCGATCGCGTGTGCGTCAATGCGGTTTCAAAATATACGATCGCCGATTGTTTCGCACACTCCAAAATTTTAAATTCGAAAATGAGGATACAAAAAGAGGAGAGGGGCCAACCGCCGCGCGGTGCCCACCCAGTCGGCAGCGGCGCAGTCTCGCAATGCCGCTCCGCCGCAGTCCTGGCTGAATACCGCCAATTCCTTTGCCATACCATTTTAAAAGCCGACAAGACTTATAACCATGTCTCCCTCTATTCAATTAATTACTCTACATCCAATCACATACGACTTTAATTCCATTGTTAAACCGACGACTAATTTTACGACAGAGATAATGATTAAATTGTTTGGTATGTCAAATCAAACAAAATTATGCTGTTATATCTTGTTTAATGGTACTTTTATGTTGGTTCCTCACATACCGACATGGATACCCCCAAGTGAGATTTCTCTTTTAAAGGATGCCTTTATAATGTTTTCTTTAATTTGCTCGCAGATTACGGGCATTTAAATTTTCACTTTTCCATAAATGTAGACATTATTTTAAACTTACTACCTATATAATATCTTTGTGGTAGAACAAGGCGCAAGTGAAATTCCCTTTTAATCCTTTATTAAATTATCAATATTAATTTTATAGTAGATAATGTAAGACCTGAAATTTTTAAGAACTAAAATATTTTTGTAAGAATGACTTGTATTATAAGAAGCGAAGGCCTTGCTTGTGGAGCGTAAATTAATCCTGTTACAATTAGAGAAACCTAAAATATATTTTCCAAATTTTAATTTAATTTTATGTATTTATTTCTTTATTTGCAAACTTCACAGTTCTTAAACTTGATTTATATAGTCTTCAATTATAAACCTTAATTTATCGCCAATTCTAAAAGTTTGTCAGGTTACAATTCACTCTTAACCTTAAAACTAGTTTAATGTTATAATTAAATAACGTAGAATAGGGGTTAATATGAGAAAAACAACAACAACAACAGCAGCAGTAATAATAATAATAATGTAGATAGTTATGTTTCAAAGATAGTATGCGTGTGTCCGTATTTGTGGATTTGTATGTGCGCGTTTATGCGCGTGTGCTTGCGTGCATTTGTGCGTGTATGTATATGTAATGCGCCCATATAATTCACCCCTGTTGACACGGAGAATTACACTATATACTTAAAACCGGAGCTGTATATTATTATCAATATAATTAACTTTGTGACGTAATGTAAAATATTATTACGTAAAATTGTATCTAGAGAAATCCTGTAAAATTTTCATTACTGAGAATTTTGGTCACTCTGTATACAATAGACAATTTGTAGCTCATCGTTTATAGATGTGCTGAATATAATTGACGGTAAGTAGAAACTGTGGTATTTTTCGATTTAGAATCGCGGCGTGCGCTCGCGCAGTTTTCACGGTCCCCCTACGCTCACCACAAACGTGGTCCGGAATCCGCGCCGGCTCACTGGTGCCTCTTGGCGACACTTGAATAGAAGGTATGATTGTAGACTCCGCATTTGTTGTAAATGTTGACATATATTTTTAACAATGTACAGGATTCAAATGCAAAAAATAGTTAACCTTTTATTGTTGAAATGGATTATTTTATATTTATATCTGGTGAAATTATAAATTACACGCACATGGAACTTGTCAACTTATGTCTCAGGGTGACGGCCGCAGTGGCAATGCCAATCACATCTTTGCGATTTAAAGCTTTGAGTGGCACTGCAACTGTCGTGGATAGGCGTGTAGCCTATCATCAGGCGCACTTGTTCATCCCGTCACTTAATATTATAAAAAAGATAGATATATTTATATAAAAATCTTATAATCTCTGTCTGTTGAAATGAAGCAACCACAAAATTTAAATATTCTTTTAAATAGGAAATGAAATTGATGATACGCGATATAAAACCGAAAAAAAATAAAAAATATTTATTTTTTGTTTTTCAAACAAACCACCGTTTCGGATCCCAGGGTCACGGCTGAACTGTAAAGGGCCCACGTCAGCCCAGGTCAGCCGCGACCGCAAAAAACAAATGTACACGATTCAATTCCCAAAAAATTGTAACATTTCCTTTGCGTAACAATAGCGAAAACCTAAATATTCTTTTAAATTTAATTGTAGATTTAACTTTTTTCATGTACTTAATATATAAAAATCTTCTAACAATTAAAGTAATAATAATTGTTATGCAATGCGGCTTGGGAACTTCACACACATAAACTTCGATCACTGAAGGTGTAAGCCTAAGGACTCATGGGACTTGTCAACTTATGTCTCAGGGTGACGGGCGCAGTGGCAGTG